CTCTCACTCTCACGCTCACGCTCACTCTCACTCTCACTCTCACTCTCACTCTCACTCTCACTCTCACTCTCACTCTCACTCTCACTCTCACTCTCACTCTCACTCTCACTCTCACTCTCACTCTCACTCTCACTCTCACTCTCACTCACTCACTCTCACTCACCTGTACATGCACATACATACACACACAAACTCACCCACCATCACTGCTCAGTCTAAGTCTAGAGAAGTTGGTAACATGTGGGGTTATCCGGTCCTATAATTGTATTACATCAGTAGATTGTTTTATTATGTTTTTATTTTAATATCGTGATATAATTATAAATATGATATTGTTATTTTACTACAATCAAAGGAAGCTGGGAAGCAATCTTCCGAGGTACGGATGACTTTTATCACAAAACAATACATCACATAACAGTACATCACACTAGACGACGGATTTCCCGAGAGCGTAGAGGAGCAGAGTCTTCTGTTGTTAGTATGGAGACACTATATTACAAGACAATATATTAAAGATGTATTATAGGCAGACGGTAAGAGTAGTATCAAGACAATATCTTACAAGTACAAGACAATAGTTTGCATCGTATCTTTCGTAAAGTTTTTACACACAGAACTTTTTACAGACAGACGCTATTGCACACAGAGACTTTTACACACAGAGGCTTTTACACACAGAGGCCATTTTGGAAACAGACGCTTTTACACACAGACGCTTTTACACAAAAACACTTTTACCCACAGAGGCTTTTACACACAGACGCTTTTGCACACAGAGGCTTTTATACACAGACGCTTGTACACACAGACGCTTTTACACACAGACGCTTTTACACACAGACGCTTTTACACACAAACACTTTTACACACAGACGCTTTTACACGCTTTTACACACAGACACTTTTACACACAGACGCTTTTACACACAAACACTTTTACACACAAACACTTGTACACACAGGGGCTTTTACACACAGACGCTTTTACACACAGAAGCTTTCACACACAGACGCTTTTACACACAAACACTTTTACACACAAACACTCTTACACACAGAGACTTTTACACACAGACGCTTTTACACACAGAAGCTTTCACACACAGACGCTTTTACACACAGACGCTTTTACACACAGACGCTTTTACACACAGAAGCTTTTACACACAGACCCTTTTACACACAGACGCTTTTACACACAGACGCTTTTACACACAGAAACCTTTACACACAGAGACTTTTACACGCAGACCCTTTTACACACAGGAGCCTTTTACACACAGAAGCTTTTACACACCCAGACGCTTTTACACACAGAAAGCTTTTACACACAGACGCTTTTACACACAGACACACACATTTTACACACAACGCTTTTGACACACAGACGACTTTTACACAGAGACGCTTTTACACACAGACGCTTTACACACAGACGCTTTTACACACAGACTTTTACCCAGACGCTTTTACACACAAACACTTTTACACACAAACACTTTTACACACAGAGACTTTTACACACAGACGCTTTTACACACAGACGCTTTTACACACAAACACTTTTACACGCACAAGCTTTTACACACAGACGCTTTTACACACAAACACTTTTACACACAAACACTTTACACACAGAGACTTTTACACACAGACGCTTTTACACACAGAAGCTTTTACACACAGACCCTTTTACACACAGACGCTTTTACACAAAGAAGCTTTTACACACAGAAGCTTTTACACACTTCGCCGGACAACTTGGAAATCGCAATTTTACCTCAGTTTTTCGCGATCGAACTTCATTCCGTGCGAAAGGGTTGCGATTGGACAAGAGGAATCGCAATTTTACCTCAGTTTTTGGCGATCGAACCTCATTTCGTGCGAAAGGGTTCGCGGGACAAGAGGGACGACTTGAAATCGCAATTTTACCTCAGTTTTTGTCGATCGAATCCATTTCGTGCGAAAGGGTTGCGCCGGACAAGTTGAAATCGCAATTTTACCTCAGTTTTTGGCGATCGAACCTCATTTCGTGCGAAAGGGTTGCGCCGGACAACTTGAAATCGCAATTTTACATCAGTTTTTGGCGATCGAACCTCATTTCGTGCGAAAGGGTTGCATTTCGTGCCGTCTCGTTGGCGCCTTCAAGAGAGAAATAGAAAAGAAGGACAGAGCAAGAGGACAAGAGGAGAAGATGTGAGGATGTGAAGGTGAGAAGATGTGAGGATGAGAAGATGTGAAGATGAGCAGATGTGAAGATGTGAAGATAAGAAGATGTGAAGATAAGAGGATGTAAGATAAGAAGATGTGAAGATGAGCAGATGTAAAGATGAGAAGATGTGAAGATGAGAAGATGTAAAGATGAGAAGATGTGAAGATGTGAAGGTGAGCAGATGTAAAGATGAGAGGATGTGAAGATGAGAAGATGTAAAGACGAGAAGATGTGAAGATGTGAAAATGTGAAGATAAGAAGATGTGAAGATGAGAGGATGTAAGATAAGAAGATTTGAAGATGAGAAGATGTAAAGATGAGAAGATGTGAAGATGAGAAGATGTGAAGATGAGAAGATTTTTTACAGACCCCCACTATTGGAAGAACCCTGCGCTCAGACGCTCTCGGGAATAACAATACATCATATAAAACAGGCAACGAACGAAGGGTCTCCGAAGGGTGGTGTGAGACTTTACATCACACAAAAGACGGCAACGAAGGGTGGTGTGAGACTTTACGTCACACAACGGTACATCACATAACAACACATAACATAAAACAAGGCAACGAAGGGTGGTGATGGAGGGAGGTGATGGCGAAGGGTGATGACGAAGGGTGCTGGCGAAGGGGGTGGTGATTGAGGGAAGTGATGACGAAGGGTGCTGACGAAGGGTGGCGACGAAGGATGGTAACCGAGGGAAGTGGTGATTAAGGGAAGTCCTCCCTATGTGTGTATACGTTTTTTTGGCACAACTATTGCGAATCTGTTCCCGTACTTGCGTTGAACATGATCAAGGGCCATTTCGACGAATCCAAGGAGAAAAATTGTTCAGTTGAGTCCGTGTGTATTTTCAAGACTTGGGTTTGGAACACAGGTTATGACGTGTTCAAATTTCTTCATATCCGTTGCTCACTTTCTGCTGCTGTTTTCAGCCAGAAACTTTTTGGGAGCATGAGGTGCAAAACTTAGCCTTTGCGCCGCAGGAGCGATGGGCCGTTTGAAACTACCCTGTTACTTTTGGACGATTTTTAAAAATGTCCTTCAATTTTGACCCGCGCCCAGCTGCCGATTGTTTTTTCGCGTGAGGCTTTAGTCATGGCCTTTGTTCCTCCGCCTCGCAGGGGTTGGAAAGAGTCAGGTGCGAATGAAATGGGATAGTTATCCACGGTAGAACACGCAACAACACGTCATGTCATGTGATGTTTGTTGGAACAATATGGATGAATTTTTGGGTCAATCTTTCGGAATACTCCAACCATGTCTTGGCAATGCAATTTTAATTGATAACAATGTAAACCAAACATCATGTCAAACAACATGTCATGCTCAGCATGTTCACTGATGGTACTGCAGCTGTGAGCTGCTCCATGCGCCCTTTAACTTGGTCATTAGCCTCCGGATCGGTCTCTAGTCTACTAATTGCTGCGGTAAGGGAGTTAGGCAGAACTGAACCAAGGTACCTTGCTCCGACTGCTCAGGACATTTGTCCAATCTTGTTTCCTGAGGATCGTTTTTGGAGCATTGACTTCAAGAGCCTCTTGCTGGGCATCTGCATTGGTTTTTTGCTGGGACCTCTGATTGATCTGCTCTATTTCATCCGGCATTCTTTGCCCCGTCTGGTTTGTGCTTCTCCTGGCAGCTTGAGAAGGCCTCTTTACAGGGTCTTGGATGAGCAGCCGAGACATTAGAGGACTGCGGATTGAAGTGGAGAGCCTCCGAGCGTTGGTTAATTCACTTGTTCAGAGGTTAGAGGTCGTTGAGGAAGAGTTAGCAAGAGCTGAAGCAGAGCAGCGCTCAGCTAGGTCAGAGGTTGAGGAAGGGTCGAGGTTGAGTTCTGCGGCAGGAGCTGATCGAAGTATCAGCCGCATTAGTGTTGCCAGCAGCACCACTCCTGTTGACACTGAGGATCGAGCTGGACGCGAGCAGTTGGCTCGCCGGATTGGGCAGTTCATCCTTCGGGCGGTGCGCGGAGAGCCATTGGGCAGCTCCGGGCGAGATCGCCTAGCACTTCAGAACAGGTGCTACCTGATCTTTGCTGACTACGAGGGCGCTGCCTTTCGCCCGCCATTCTTCACCAGGGCCTTTGCTGAGGTTCGTGAGAGGTGCAAGCGTGGGGCCGATTGTGGCAGGTCCATTTTTATCGGGCTTGCGACTTTGTGGGAAGCAGCGATCGTTGTGGAGGAAGCAGGCTTTGCGTTGCCTGCTGAGTTGAGGAATGTCAGAAACTAGCGCCATTCTCGGCGCTGCATTGGTCTCGGCAGACGGGACCCCACGTGAGCACTACGAGCTTGTCCACCTGAAGTATCAGTTGGGAGGAGAGGCTAGATGTGTCAATTTTGTTTTGATTGCTCAGGTTGCCGAAGGCGGCATCTTAGTTGCAGCCCCATTTCAAGCATGGAGCAGAACTGTGAACGAGAGGAAGCTGCCCAGAGGAGCTCTCTCGCGAGCTTTGCTAGTCGAGGTGATGGCATCCAACATAGATGCCCCCGAAGTCGCCTTGGAGGAGCAGAATGTGCAGCTTTGGGTTGGTGTGATGGACCCAAGGCTAGTCAGCCGCTTGCAAGTTGGAGGTGGAGAAAGCCCGACTTACGATGTTTGGGTGACTGCAGAAGACGACGAAGGTGCCAGCCACACTCTGATTCCCTTTGGCCCAGCTCTTGTTAGTGTCGCAGAGGAGAATTTCGCCTTTGCTTCAGCTGCCAGCGACCTGGAAGTGCCCCCGAGCAGGGCAGGTGCTCCGGCAGAAGCCGCTGGGCTCGAAGATCGAGTGGAGAAAATGGAGAACACCTTGGAGCAGATCCAAGAACTTCTTCAACGAGGGCTGGGAGCCTCAAGTGCAGCTCCGACTCGAAAGCCTGCTCTGCGCCCTACGGCAAAAGCACGGGTGCGGTTTCAAGAAAGGCCGACCGAGATCAAAGGTCTGGACCCGACTGTTGTCGCCTCAGCCCTTCAAGCTGGAATCCCCGAAGAGCAGTTGGTGACTCTCAGCGGCTTGCTCAAGAAGACTTCAAAGATGGAGGATGTTCCAAGGCAGAAGCCCTCGCGGGGGGTTCTCAGCGAGAGCGAGGACGAGGAGGAAGAACCAGAGCTGATTGGAGAAGAAATTCCTCCCGACGAGATCGGCGGGGAGCCTCATCCAGCTGTTGCAAAAGCAGTTGTGCAGCTCACCAAGATCGTTGGATCTTTGGCTACCCAGACGTCCAAGCAGAAAGACTTGGACTCCTTGCTGGACTTGGCAGAAGGAGGAAGCGCAGATTCATCTTCCTCGAGCAGCTCCTCCCGATCCAAAGCGGCGGCGTTCAAGAAGCTGCGCTCAGCTCTCAGCGAAGCTCCAGAGAAGTTGAGCAAGAGCATAGAAGAGGCCATCGACGAGGATTTTCTGCAGGTCAGGATGATCCCGGGAGTCAGCTCTCAGGATTTCAGCACGAGAGCCTGGGTCGAGCACCGATCCAAGCTGCAGTACTATCCACAGACCATCAGGATGGCATGGATCTTGGCTGGAGCTCACGATGCCATGAGACGAAAGAAGTTCGAAGAGGCCAAGGCGAGGATTCTTTTGGGGCTGGTTGCTCTCGACCAGGCATCTCTGGATGGCGGCAACTGGGCGCTGGCTCAAGAAGTCCTTCTCGAACCTCCTGCTCCTTTTCACAGTTTCGTGGGAAGGAAGCTTCCGGAGCCTTGGGAGCAGACAACTTCAAAGCTGCTGGACGATCGGGTGGCAGATGTTCTGATGTGGCGCCTGAAAGACCGGGACTCTTTTGTGGAAGCCCGGAAGAGACTGCAGAGCCCGAGCAAGGGCGCTGCCAGGACAGAGCCCCAGCAAAATGGGCCTGCTCCCAAACCCGGGCCGAAGAAAGCTCCCAAGGCAAAAGGAAAAGGAGGAGGAAAGACGGCTCCAGAAGAGGAGCCTCCTGCAGCAACCTGAGTAGTCCCCAAGGGCTGGGCGAAGGACCAGCTCTAGCGCCCGGAGAGGGTGCAACCACAGTGCATGCCCTTGACATTTGGACTGATGTTTTTTCGCTGCTTGTGAAGATCAAGTCGAGACTTGCAGCAGCTTTCCACTCAGCGCGGACCAAGCCCTCTGCAAAGAGAGCTCCTTCGGGTGAGGTGTGGCCCTGCCCCTTGCCCTTTCCGGAGTTGCACCGGAGGAAAGCCAACCGTCTACAGAAGGACGGACCCAGGAAGCTAGCACTGAACTTTGTGGTGCTAGTCATGAACATGTTTCACCACGGCCAAGGGCATTTTGCTGGGGCCGTGCCAGGACTTGGCACCCCACTCAACGTTGAGCAGTGGCGGTTTGTGAAGAACGTCACGCCTTTGGTGGATCAGTGGAACAGAGAGCCTCCTGTCACTGCAGAAGTGATGGGGCGATCAGCTGCCAAAGTTGAGAGTGTCGAGAAGTTGATGGGCCATTTGGAGAGAGCAGTTGAGCCTCTTTCCGTTGAACTCAAGGGCTATTTGGGCCGGAGCTCATCTGGCATGCAGACCAGCTGTGGACACAGAGGATCTCCAGGAGAAGTTGTTGGCAGATTGCAGTCCCAGCTTGAACACGTGGCGAAAGCTCTGCAGCCTGAGCGTTTGAAGTTTTGGAAGGTTCCAAGTTTTGATCCTGCACCGTTTTTAGATGAGGAGAACCGATGCAGATTTTTGGAGCCTAGGGCCTTTTTGAAGCAGTTCGAAGACGGGCTGCCAAAACCTCCAAGCGTCAGAGTGAGGATCGCTGAGAGGGACAAAGTGCGTTTTCTCAAGCTGCTGGATTCTACCCAACGGCTCAGTTTTGCCGGGGTAAGTGAGATTTTTGAGGGATATGAGAATGGAGCTTTCAGCGTGCCAAAAGATGGGCAGAGAGATAGGATGATTCTCGACGCTCGAGCTCCAAACCTGCTTGAGCAAGGAGAAGACAGGTGGATTAGGAGTTTGGGAAGCGTCAGCCAACTTTTGCATTTTTTCTTGCCGGCGGGGCAAAAGCTCGTGCTGCATGCCGAAGATCTGCGAGAGTTTTATCATGCCTTCAAGATCTCGAGGTCCAGGCAGTTGAGAAATTGCTTCAAGCTGCGAGTCAAGCCGGAGCAAGTTTCGTCGCTTGCTGCTTTCAAACCAAATTTCTGGCAAGAGGAATTTTTGGTGCCGCTCTTGGCCACTATGGCTATGGGCGATCTGAATGCAGTTGCAATGGCTCAAACAGCTCATTTAGGCGTTTTGCTTCAAAAGACGGAGATCAGGTTAAAGCATTTCATCACTCTGAAGCAGAGACCTCAGCGAGATCTGTGGTTTGCTGGTCTGATGATTGACGACCTTCTCCTTGCAGAGGCTCTACCATCGGAAGCTGACAATGCGTCTGGTGGCTGCTCTGAGCTGATGAAAGTGATCCACGCAGCCTATGAAGAGGTAGGGCTGCCGAGGCATGAGGGCAAGTCAGTGCAAGGCAGCACGAATTGCTCCTTTTGGGGCATTACGGTTTCTGGCGAGGCCGGCTGGGCCAGGCCAAACTTGAGCAGGGCAGTGCCGCTGACTTTCATTTTGCTGGAAGTTTGCAGATCTGGTTTTGCGACAGTGGGTTTGCTCGAAGTGTTAGCTGGGAGTCTGGTTTCTATATTTGCTTTGTCAAGGCGCTTCATGTCAGCTTTGGAAGAAGTCTATTCAGCGCAGCGAGGCAGAAGGCGAGGAGACATTGTCAAGCTTTCTTCGGCGTTGGTGGACGAACTTTTGAGCTGCATAGCTTTGATTTGCTTGAGTCACATTGATTTCCGGCTGGAGCCCAGCGACCTGATTGTGGCGTCAGACGCCTCGAGCAAAGCAGAAGCTGCAGTTTGTGCAGTTTTGCCTCCCACTGCGACAGCCGAGATGCACCGCCATGCTCTTGCAAAGGGGCTATGGAGCCGACTGCTCCGACCTGAAAAGGCCTATCTGCGGGAGAAATCCTACTTGCCTGATGATGAGCAGCTTCCTGAGGGCTCCTATGAAATCCACCCACTCTGGCAAGAAGCTGTTTCATGTCTGAAGTTTGAGCAGTTTGGGAAGGTGCGAAAGGTGGCGGGCAGACGCCACATCAACTTGGGCGAACTTGATGCTGCGCTTGCGGCAGAGATTAAAGTGGGAAAGCGGAAGCCTGGGAGCTTCTACGTCCACTTGCAGGATTCGCAAGTTTCTCTTGCTGCTATGATCAAGGGCAGGTCTTCCTCCACTGAAATCAACAAGCGGCTGAGGGCATCCATTCCAGACCAGGTCCACTACAAAGTCAGAGGGTTCTATGGTTTTGTGGCCAGTGCTTTGAACCCTGCAGATGACCCGACTAGGAGTCGGGCTGTGCGGGGCCCGAGCAAAGCCCCTGCGCAATGGTTTTCAGACATGATGGAAGGAGATTTTTCAGCTTTAGATGTTTTTCTGCAGGAGCATGGCTTGGATCCTGCTTCAACTTCTGGTCTGCCCCCTGAAGAGGAACTGAGCGTCAGAGTGCCCTTAGACTTGCGGAGTAGCAGAGCTGTCCGCGCCGAGCGGAGAAAGAGAGTTGGAAGTTTGAGTAGGAGAGGGAAGTCAGAGGCTGAGACCACCACCTCCCTTGAAGGAGTCCCTCCCCTTAAGGCTGAGACCCCCGGCAAAGATACAGCAGTTTTTGAGGCTGAGACCCCCGCCTCTTCTATAGAGGGCCCTGCTCAAGAGGCTGAGACCCCCAGTGTAAGGCCAGCTGAGCTTGGCGCAGATGGCAAAGGGCTTTCAGAGGAACAAATAGTTGAAGTTTTGAAGGCGTGCAGTCGCTCTCAGTTTCAGTTCAACTCGAAGTTCGGAAGCCTTGAGGAAGCGATGAAAGCTGGAAAAGGGGTTTTGGAACTCTATGCAGGAGTTCGAGGTTTTTCAAAGGCGGCAGTTAAGTATGGTTTTTGCTGGAGCCTCTCCTATGACATCAAGCACTCCTGCAGTGAGGACCTTAGTCTAGCTCCTTTGCAGCAGCAGTTACTAGATTGGATTGACCTAGGGTTTTTCTTAGCCATGGGTGCTGGTCCTGTTTGTGCTTCTTTCAGCACTGCCATAACTCCTCCGTGCCGAACTGCTGAATTTCCTGAAGGCGTGCCATGGTGCAGCGCGAAACAACGACTGAAAAATGAGGCAGGCAATGAGCAACTGGCTTTTGTTTTGAAGGTCGTTCAAGCTTGCATTCGCAATGGCGTGTTTTTCTGGGTCGAAAATCCAGATGGGTCTTGGATCTGGAAGCAGAAAGAACGTTTGTCATGGGATAGAGTTTTGAGAGCTGCTGGGGTGGGCGACCTGCGGGTAGACTACTGCAGGTTTGGGACAGCTTGGAGGAAGCGAACCCGATTTAGGACGAATTTGCATCTAGCTGGGCAAGCTGCCTTTTGCAAATGCGCGAAGCCGCATCTGCGACTGCGCGGCAGGTGCAGAGAAAGGAAGGTGAACTTTACTCAATTGGCCGAGGCTTACCCTCGGGCTATCGCAAACATGCTGGGTGCTGCGGCAGCTATTGATTCTGGAGTCTCTGGTGCAACTAGAAAACTCGACGTTGCGGGATGCGCCAAGTGCACATCTAGGTGCATCGGGGAAGCTCTCAATCCTGGGCCACGGCGCGTCATGCCGCGCGACGTGAGTCAGTCGTTAGCAGATATCAACTTGCTGGAGCCTGGAACGATAGCTATACGATCGCGGATCTGGCATGACTTCGAAGTTTGGGTGAACCTTTCTTTTGGAGCAAGTTTTGTTCAGAGTGCGACTGCAGTTTCCCCCTTTTTTGCTCAGCTCCTGATAGCTTTTGGATACCACTGCTATGATACTAATGTCTCTTTGCATTATTTCCGGCAGCTGCTTGCTCACGTTCAACGAGAGTTTTTGAACATGAAGCTCTACATGGCACCGGCCTGGGAAGTTTGTAGCAAGTGGGAGCTGATGGAGCCGACACAACATCGGCCACCATTGCCAGAGCCGATCTTACGGGCGATGGCTGTCGTTGGTTTAGCTTGGGGATGGAAGAGATGGTCAGCAGCTTTGGTTTTTGCTTTCTTTGCGGCAGCTCGGATAGGAGAAGTTTTGAGGGCGAAGCGGAAGAACCTACTCACTCCGCAAGACCTTCTCTCTCAGCAGCAAGTTGCTTACTTGCAGATCGAAAGCCCAAAGACCAGACGGAGGGGAGCCCGAATGCAGTATGTCACTGTTGAGGAGCCCCTAGCGATAGACCTTTTGACGGCTGTGTGGCAAGATTTGGACGGAGAAAATAGGCTTTTTCCGCTTTCAGCTGGCGCTTTTAGGAGCAGGTGGGATGCGATTTTGAGGCATCTGAAGATCGGGAAGGAGCACAGACTTACTCCCGGCTCTTTGAGGGCTGGCGGAGCAGTAGCCTTACATAGGTCTGGGGTTTCCATTTCCGAGTTGCTCTGGCGAATGAGGCTGCAGCATCAAAAGACCTTGACATACTATTTGCAGGAAGTGACGGCATCTTCAATTCTGCCGTCGTTGAGTCCTCAAGTTAGAGATTCTGTCCAAGTTTTGCAGAGCGCATTGCCTTTTTACGTGACACTTCAAAAGAGGCCCGCAGCGCACAACGTGTGCAAAGCTTACAGCCCTTTTACGTTGTAGGCCTCGGGAGCCATGTGGTATGAAACTGTCAGAAAGTTTTTTTTGCAAGAAGGTTTTCACCACTGCAACCACAACAGCTCCTTCAAGTTGGCCAACTTTCCCTTGTAGAACAAGGGTCCCAACATTGTGCAGCAGCGCTGAGTTGGAAAAGGAGTCATGCACAGCGGAGAGCAGGGAAGGAAAGTTAACATGCTCAGCATGTTCACTGATGGTATTGCAACTGTGAGCTGCCCCACAGGCCACCCGCCCTGGTATGAAACTGTCAGAAAGTTTTTTTGCAAGAAGGTTTTCACCACTGCAACCACAACAGCTCCTTCAAGTTGGCCAACTTTCCCTTGTAGAACAAGGGTCCCAACATTGTGCAGCAGCGCTGAGTTGGAAAAGGAGTCATGCACAGCGGAGAGCAGGGAAGGAAAGTTAACATGAAATTTTATCCATGTGCCAGGGCCGATAACTTCCAAAGATCCGTCCGGATACCCGAACAAATTTGAACAATTTGGCGCATCCTGAAATTTTGTGAGTTCAGAATTTGTTGCTTCCAACTTTTGCTCCTGAGGCGAGCGTTTGCCACAGGTGACCGACGGGATACTGATGAGGATGATGTTGACTCACCCAAGTCGCAGGACTTCCGTCGTGTTTTTGTAGTTGCAAATTTGTTACAAACTGCACCTAATTGTCATATTGTCATATTTCAGGGTCATTTTTGACTGCTATTTGCATCGACGAAACTGAGAAATTCCATCAGTGGGATGTGGCTAACCAAACTCCCACCTAGCAACGTGCTTGAAGGGTTAGAACACTGAAAAGGTTTCCGTGGAACAGAACTCGACAAGGACGATGAACTCCCTTTCTGGGAGGAGTCCGACTTTGTCGAGGACTGATTGAACGCAGAGTTGATTTCCTCGATGTTTTTTTCAATGTTTCATGTCGCAGATTCTCCAAAAGGAAAAACCTGTCGAAAAAGAACTGGACCATGACTCGCGCCTTTTAGAGGCAGCACAGACATGGGCAGAAGGTTCAGTGCTGGCTTGCATGGTCAATCCTACTCATGTGAAATGTGCCATGAGTTGCCACGATCAGTCACTCCATACCGTTGCAGGGGTCGGGTTCTGCCACGGGCTTTTGAATCGACACAATCTTGGTCTACATCTCCATGTGTTTGGTTCGCAACCCTATATTGTGTAGGGCATTTTGCCCCCTTCGGGGTTGGTTTCACTTCCATTTTTGGTTTGTTATATCCCTACATGCACATCACGTTCTGAAACAAAATCATATATACATAAATATATGTATATAATGCAGATGCAAATAGCGAAGATACATACTCTACACACGTTTTCATATCTATCTATCTATCTATCTATTTATCTATCTATCTATTTATCTATCTATTTATCTATCTATTTATCTATCTATCTATTTATCTATCTATCTATCTATCTATCTATCTATCTATGACATAGACATGACATGACATACAGATGCAAATAGAGAAAATGCATACTCTAGACTCCCTTTCATATCTACATATCATGTTTGTATGACATGCGGTCTGGAAATCACCTCACGCGAGGCACCGGCGCCAGCGCGGCGCCACACGGCCCCCAGCCTCTCGTTGCGCGAGCGGAGCTTTCCGACGCCCACGCCCTCAACGAGGCATTGCATGGCCATGGCATATAATGTAGCAATAATGTACTGATCTACTGAATATTGTGGAGATAAAGTAGCAATATGGAGCATGTCCACCAATTTTAGTTCTTATAGATGGCATATAAATCGTAAGCCTTTTGGGGGTGGGTCAGTTTTGGTAGTCTGCTCGAAGATTCTTGTACCAATTGAAAGATTCACTCCTGGCGAACCATTTTCTTGTGGTGCTATCAGCCATTGAAGGTTCAGCCAACAACTGCAAGGATTTCTGCGACTTGTGGAAAAAAACAACACCAAAAGTATAGTTTTTGAATGAAGGTTACACCATGTAATGCTACTTATGCTACCATTCTATATACTATTTATATACATATATGTCATGCTATGTACTATGTAATGTTGTTTTACTTATACTATGTTACGCGACCAATTATATACAATGCTGTGCCATTATTAGTAACATACAATGCTACATTTTAAATATGGGAAGCTGTTGAGAATCACAAGGCAATTGGTAAATACCATCGCGTTGGCAATCCCAAATTGACTACAGAGAGCGACAAGATTGCAACAGGCCGGGGACTGCTTCTGCACAAAGCTCTCCTTCTTTCCAAATGTCTCCCAATCGGGACAGGCAAGGAGGAGTGATCGGTGTTCCACTTCAACTTGTGGATTTGTGTCATCAAAATCTCATGGTTACACCACGTTTTCCAGCTTGGCATTGTATGTGTATGTATGTGAGGTGCCAGCTTCCACCAGCTTCCACCAGCTTCCACCAGCTTCCACCAGCCACGGCCATTGCGTGCTGTAGGCCTTCAAAATCCCGAGTGGAGGTGGCTGAAAAATCGCCGGCTTCGGAGTCGTCCATGACTCAAACTGCCAGCAGCGTATGAAGTCAAACTCAGATGGCACCGGTGTCGTTGGTGTCGTTTGCCAAGGCAAAAGGGGCCCAAGTGGTTGCAGGCTGAAGCCTTACAGTTTACAGTGGCATATAATACATCTGAGATGTATGTGAGTGACTATCCAGGTTGAAACATACTCTAAACAGCCCAAACAGGCAGCATGGAAGGAAGTCAGGAAGTCGAAACGTGAAGATCCTTTTTGCAATTGGATAAGCTTTGATCCATTTTGACCCTTATCATTTTGGAGGTTCCAAGCTTCAGACCTGCCGCTGCTGCTGCAGTGGCAGTTTCAGGCACATCCCAACTTGAAAGAATTCAAGTCTCGCAGGGAGCAAAAGGCTATGCAAATTTCTTCCTCCACTTCGGACAAAGGCTATGCAGATCGGATGTTGGTCGAGACCCTTTGCATCTCGTGGGGCTACTCAGGATTCAGTGACAGCCTTCATACCAAACAATACCAAACATGCTGTCATTGTCCTACTCAAGACTCAGACCCTGTTGGTACTGGATGAACAAGCAAGACTTGAAGATTTGAAGACCTAAGAGCAACATACAGCAACCAATGTTGACTCAAAGGATGCGTCGTTTCCGCGGCACATCAATGAAAGTGGCAAGCCCAGTGCCGGGCACGGGCAGCACGGACCTGTTTCGTGGGTGTCCTCGTCACTAAAATCAGTCCATCGAATGGAGAGTGCCCTCGCCATGGCTCTGCTTGTCGATGTTCTTCGATGTTCTTTGATGTTCGGCTGATGTTCTTTGTATCTTTGTGACTTAAATTTCGGCTGAAGGCTTGGCGGTGCGACTTCGACAAACATGGAGTTGGCACGTACCTTACAGCTGTCTCTGAAAGCACGAGCTGGTTTGAAACATCTTCATTTCAAAAAAATGCTGATGGAATCTGATGGAAAACTTAAATCTTTTGTGACTTTCCTGATGGTCATTCATGCGTTTGTTCTCGAGGTTGGGTGAGCAGAGCCGAATTTGCCAGAGGCTGCCGTTTCTATGGGTCCATTCCTCAAGATGGGTTCAAGGAAACATGGATTTCTTTGGCAGAGATCAATCGTCTAGCGTCTAGCGTCTAGCCCCAAAGTCACTTGGTTTGGTACCACTACCATATTGGCTGTCCACAAAGCTCACTCTAGTTTTGAGAGCCGCATACGAAGTGAGACGAAGTAAGTTTGGAAAGTCACGGTTTCACTTGTTTTTTTCATGGTCACCATTGTCACACCATTGTCACACCATTGTCACACCATTGTCACACCATTGTCACACCATTGTCACACCATTGTCACACCATTGTCACACCATTGTCATACCCTGCCATCTCGACAATGTCAAGGTGCCCAGCAGATGCGATTTGGACCAGCTGCCACAACAGCGGAGGCCAGGGCTGGGGATGGGCCGATGGGCCGATGGCCCGGGGATGGGTCAAGGCATTGGGAAGTCGGCTGAACTTGAACACTGGCAGGAGCCGGCATGAAATTCTGGGAGTGTGCGTCTCAATGCATATCAAAAGCATATCAAAAGCATAGACAAAACATCTTAAAATAATCAACAAAATATACTGTAATCTATTGTAATCTGTAATCAAAAGCGACGTTTCACCGTTTCACGTCAAAATGGCCAAGGTTGGACACCGAGGAGGCCTTAGACCTGGAACTTTTCGAGCAGGCCGAGTCCCGAGTAGTCCCGAGGAGTCGCGGATGGACTCCCTGATTCTCATCATCTCCAGGCCATAAATCACGGCTAGTGGCTACTATTGGAGCCAAAGGTAGCCAAAGGTAGCCAAAGGCTAAAGTAGTCTTGGGATGTCTTGGGGGCCCGAGGCAGCTCCGTAGTCTTGGGCTTCTCAGGACTTCTCAGGACTTCTCACTATGACATCTCGTCTCCGATGATCTCATTTCATCCAATTATTTCCCGTCGCATCTCGTCTCTCCTCTCTTCTCATCACAATGTCTTAGCTCAATTCATCTCATGTCATTGGATCCCATCATATCTCATCATATCTCATCTCTTCTCATCACACCCATCAATCGCATCCCATTCCATCTCATCGCATCATATCATATCATCTCTCATCATCTCATACATCATCTACCATCATTTTCCACATCTCTCGTCATCCATTTTCTTCAACCCAGTGAAAAACCACTGCCCCATTATGCATAGCTTTCCTCCACCCCCCCTGGGCCTCAAGTTCCCCATACTATCTTTGTACGTTTCAATGCCACTGTTCTCTCCAATGAACATCAAACATCCATCAATCAGGGAGTGAACCAACGGCCGGAGGTTCTTTGGATTCGGACCGGTTTCGACCTTCGACAGACCTGGGCCATTGCCTCAACATATCAGCTTTTTGAAACTGTTGGTTTGCAGTGCCAGTTGGAGTGCAAGGCTATTCTGGATCCTCACAACCAGACAGTTGGAACCTCAGACACGCCTGGAAAAGTTGCATCAAACTTCACAGACTTCACAGACTTCACAGACTTAACACTTTCACTTTTATGTTGGCCATGAGTGCCCCTTGCCCGAAGCGCCTACAACACATATGGATGTCTTGATAGATTTTTCCTTGGGCCGATTGGGCGATATACGATTTTGGACGTCCAGTGACCATCAGTGACCATCAGTGACCCAGTATGACCCAGTGACGCTCGACAGGCTTTGACTCTGCAAGAGTTTGTGAGAGGATGCAGGCAGGTTGGGACATGTTGGGACAGATTTGACAGATCAAAATTCTCACTCCAAAATGGCCAATGTCGCGCCTGCACAGCTTCAGAAGTCGGCAGGGCAATTGGCTTTGATGGTGATGCGCATCACATCTTCAAAGGCTGGAATGATGAATGTTGATGAATGTTGGACATTAACCACGAAGTGCATGAGATTTAATCAGATTTACTATGGACGAACCCAATCCTTGTCAAACAGGAGGATTTGCGAGATTTTGCAGCCTCTCTGGAGTGACTTCGGAATTCTCCCAGCATCAATCATCAATCTGCCCCTAAGCCATTTGCTGCTCACGGCGAAGCTTCACACGGCGAGTGCCACGATTTTTTTGGCATTCCGGTTTCATTCCATGATCCTAAGTCGAAGCTCTGAGAAAAGCTATGGTCAAACTCATTCACTGTATGTTTAACGTGCAGCTAACATACGACAGGCAAAGCTCAGGTCTTGCTTCGTTCAAACATTTGGGTGTTCAGTTTCAAAAAGGACTGAAGGATCTGAAGGCGTCAAGCGCTTCTTTGTGAGACACAACTTGGTTGGCTCTTCGTCAGCCAAGTAGCTGCGTTTGGCATCAGGATGTTGTTTGACAGCCATGAGCACAGCCTCACCCACAAGCTGATGATTATTTTGCGGAAGTTTGACCAGGACCTTTTTTGGATGCCCCAAAAAGCTTCGCCTTGCTGTCTTGGATGGTGGTTTCAATTCATTTTTATCATTTTTTATCTATCCTGCAACTGGGATGATGAAACCCACTGACTTGCATCCTTTTTGGATTAGTTTCAAAGCACCAATGAGCTTGTGCATCGAGTGCTATTTCTTGACAGACTAGGTGACTAGATCATTGTTGAAATATTTGATTCTTTGATTCTTTGATATTCTTTGACTATTTTGACTCTGCTGAGTTGGTATTACGCTATGCTCCGTTGAGGAGGGAACTGGCACTGTGAGCAAATCTCAATTCGAGTCACTCCTCCGTGCTGCCTTGCCGTTGGATGAGATCTTGTACCAGGAGGAGGTAGGGATCCCGATGATGCCGATGATCCCGGAACCCCCTTGTTGACTCAACTTGTTGACCCAACTTGTTGACCCTTGGTGGGTTCTTGGTGGGTTCTTGTTGGTTGTGTATCATATGAATTCATATGGAAATCACATGGAAATCACATGGAAATCATATGGAAATATGCACTGCACTGCATGGAGACTTGGGATCCTGATGGTCCATTGTTTCATGGGAAGCCTCTCCATTGACATCATGAGTTTCTCAAACAACAACGACCTCACGTGGCTTTGCCAGCTTAGGTGGACCATTTATGGGCCTATTTCCCAAAACGCGATGATGGCGACATCGAGAACAGCGATTTGGTTGATTGGATTTTGCGGCCCAGCACCCCACTGATGCTCACTGATGCTGGAGATTTGGCCTTTTTCGACCTGAAATTTGCCATTCAACCGCTCTTCCAGGCTTGATTCCGAGTGGATGGCTTGGGGTTGATAAGGCAATTGAATGCAATTGGCAATTGATTTCGATTTTACAGAATTTGACATGGCATCTTGGCACCAAATCGTGAAAATCACATAAATTCTCCAGGTCTACAACCAAAATGGCGATGGCTACGTGTGTCTGCACGAGTTCATCGAAGCTCATGGCATTCTTCAAATCGCCTTGCAGATGAATCCCTCGGAGGAAGAGGATCCTCCAGTGCTGCGGGGAGACCTTCACAACCTCTTCGTCCATGTCATCGGAGATTCCGACCCTCGGATCGAAGATCTGTGACGATCTGGGACGATCTGTGCTCCAAAAGGTCCAATTTTGGCTACACAAAAGGCTCCAGTGCCCCCTGAAACGAAGGGAGATGCGCGGATATACCTGGATAGTCCGTTTGAATCCGTTTGAATCCGTTTGAATCCGTTTGAATCGTTTGAGATGGAAGATTTTGGGATATTTTTGGGCTGTCGTAACCATCTTGACCCAAAGCTGCTCCATAGTGCTTTATATCAGGTGCTAGTGAAAACAGGGATCTCACGACCAAAGGATGGTGATGCCGTATATAGAGTTTCACATCCCCCACCAACGGACCAAACACACAATTTCTTGCAGACCATTTTGGGTCCTTCAGCGGTGTTTTGGGTCCGAACGCTCTCAACTTCCAGGAAAAACGTTTGACCCTTGAGAAGTTTGTGCAATGGCAGCGGGTGGCATTGATTCATTCGGTACTACCTCCAGATTCATTGAAGAGGCCGGCAGAGATTCGTAGCGCAGTAGCAACTGTATGACATTGAACCCTAAGAATCTCTCAAGATCTTTGAAGATCAAGCAAACTATGGAAGCCCTATGGAAGCAGCTTTTTTGACACAAAAATCCACCCCCCAGGTCCCTGTGTGACACCTTTTGTCAAAGATGCAGAATGCCAGGCTCTTGCAGAATGTGGCGAAACAGATGCAGCGAGTCTTCAAACTCATCGCTGCAGAAAAGCGTGGTGACTTGAAGGAGTCTGATCGATTGGTCCTCACCAGGACCACAAGGTTTGTCTCAGGGTGGTTAGATGTGGTTAGTGTTACTATATGTTATTGCTGTATGTTACATATGTTACTGTTAGTTGGTGAGTTCTTCATGTTGGTCAAACATGAAACCACTGCGCTTGGTTCACTGGTCGGCCTGTTTGGCCTCTCCTTTTTGGCTGGTGGAAATTCATGGGACTTCGACATCTTCGACCAAGAAATCCTGACCAGTCCTGACCAGTCCTGACCAGTCCCCCCTGAGGATCTTGGGACATTTGGCACAGTTTAGCCGCGAACTTTGGGGCACTGGACCTACGGGATCTACGGGATCTACGGGACCTAGCGCCTCAACGAGGTCGAAGGGCCATGGTTTCTCCAATAAGTGGACAGCCCCCTTGGTGGGAATGAATGTCCAGCACCTGAAGGATTGGGATGGGAGTTGAAAATAGTTGAAAATTGTTGAAATGTGGAATGCCTCAGTTGAAAGTTTTAAAAGCACCCTCGAATAGAAAGATCACTGGATCATCATCGATCATCTCCAACTTTTCACAGGACATCTTTCTTCATGACTTCAGCTACAGCCGCCTGACGTTCAGCTCGAAGGTTCTGCGAAGAGATTGGGAAGTCTTGTGCATCCCCGACCTTCCACAGGGTCGACACCAAGACTGGTTGGCCCGTGTGTGCCTCAACACGCTGCTGTCTCCGGTGGATCCCGTGGATCAGCCGGATCAGCCGCGGCAAAGGACGGATCTGCACACATATCGATACGTCAAGGAGAGCTTCACCTGGACATTGGATGACGATTGTCAATTTGATCAGGCCTCGGCCTCAGATGGCCTCAGATGGCCTCAGGCCGCCATGGCGCCATGGCGCCATGGCCTTGCTCATGTCATGCTGGAAGAATTTGAAGCGCCAGCTCGAGTGGTTGAAGATGGTTGAAGCATGAATCATACAGAGATCTTCAGAGTGAATTAGAGTCAATGGTGCTTTAATCGACTTTAAGCATGCTTAACCATGCTTCACCAAGGCTTTGAATGGTCTCTCGCCCGAAGTGAAATTGTTTGCCTTGCTGAAGAGCGAGGGAAACTTTGGTCAGCGCCTTTCCTGGAGTCAGGCCAGTCTACGGAGCATAGCATAGCTCTATCCTGCGTCACACATTAATAGAGCAATCAGATATGTCATAGCTCTATCATGCTCTATCCTATCATGATATGTCATACTGTCATGCATCTCTTATTATTGCATTTCATTACTGTCACTAGAGTCACTAGCGCTGCTTCTGGACAGTACCAAAAACGGTTTCGCTTTTTCATCAGCATTGGTAAAAGTCTAGCTAGAACGCTAGCCACAACCTGACGTGTCTCACAGGTACAGGCGGCTTTGTCTGTGGCGGTAAAGTTGGGCATCATCACACAGGTGGGTCTGATCCAGATACATTTGGATTGTCACACAGATGATTCCGTTGTGATTCTTTTTGACACTTGTTGTGATATGTTTTGATCCCATGTGGCAATCACCTGTCAACAAGTTGTGCGAGGCACAGGTAAAGGGATGCAACGAGAAACTGGACGATTGGGTGACGAAGGGCATGGATGCGGATGGCTTGTGGTGCACCCGTGAGACCTTAGAGGTTGTCCGTGAAAAAGTTTTCACATCGCCCAGTCAAATCATGGGCATCTTTGCCGAGATGGGTGTGTTCTCAGTGACCTCAGTCTGGGCAGATTTCATGGATACGGAGCAGTGAGTTGACAGAGTCACTACATTTACTACATGTTACTGCAAGCTGCCTTCAAGACTTACTACACGCTACTGGCTACTTGTTACTTACTAAAAGCTGCTACAACTTGCCATTTGTGTAGCTGTCAGCCGGTGACCGTCTCAGAGCTGTTTCAAGCACCCAGCAGCTGAGCAGAACTTCGGCTGGAAGGCGACTTCCGATATCCATCATGAGCTTCTCTTGGAGATTCCTGAAGACTTGCGGCGACTTGCGGGCCGGCTCCTGAGATTCTACGCCTATCGGCGAAAGGCGGCGAAAGACGGCGAAAGCCTAGCAGCTTAGCAACAGTTTCACAGTACAATCCCTCCCACTGAGTGGGTCGGGGCTCCAATTCCCACCAAAGTTGTGGTTTGTTGAGTCCTAGCGGCCCAAAGTGGCCATGTACATACCAGATCCTTCGGTCTGTTTGTAGATTGAAGGATTTCAGAGCAGCACCAGATACAAAATGGTTTCAACGCGCAGAAATGCTTCCTTTTCCCACGGTTGGATTTCTGTTTTCATTTCTTTTTTCCATGTCTTCAAAGAAAAGGGAAGACCAACTACAGTATGGAATAACATGTTGATCTAAGATTCAAGTTGACGCCATGATCTCGGAAGTCTTGGAAACATTTTGACACATTCGACACATTTCGACACGTTCGACGCCAGGTTTGGACCACCAGGGCCTCGGTCGAGTGTCCTGGCACGACTTCGAGTACCTGCAGAAACTCTGCGACACCTCCAGCTGCGCCAAGGCACCGTGCAGCGTTCGCGAGGACTCCGTTGAGTGGAAAAATACTTGAAAGGTCAGATGCACTGAGTATATACGGTGTATATATATATATACATTCGATCTACCCCCCGCCCAGTAACAGCAGATAAATGATTTTCCTTTAACCTACCCTTTCAAAACGAGCACAAGGAAATTGCTCCAAAAATCTCGGCTAGGAGGTGCCCAAAAAAAACGTCAACCTGCCCTCCAAACCTCTGATACAGAATTCAGAATTCAAGACAGGGGCTTCACTTTCAAGATCTTTCAAGCATATCAGTTGCATTCCAACATTGAGAAAAGAAGAGCGCAGACTACAGACAATACATTCATGTGTTACCCTGAGAAGGTGCGAGCAAGGCGTCTGCATCGAAGCAAGGACTAGAACATATTGTGAAAGGATTTGGCCGCTTGATGCAACTGGCACAATGCACCGTAATGTGCTCAACCATGGAGTCAGATTGGCCATGTGGGAAAATGGAAATGTTATATACTTGGCATCCATCCTAAACTTTAAATTCTAAACCCCGAGCCCACTCGAACCCTAAATCGCAAAACTTCATTGACGCGTAAGTACCAACCGCCAAAACCAGCACAAGCTAGACACAAAAAGAGCACAAAAAAACACAAAAAAAACATTTAAAAAACACAGAAAAAAGCACAAAAAAGCACCAAAAAAAGCACCAAAAAAAGCACCAAAAAAAGCACAAAAAAAGGCACAAAAAAAAGCACAAAAAAAGCACAAGGAGACTGCAAAAATAATTGCGAAAAAAATGAAAAAACTAGCCCGGGCAAGGAAAGGTCCAAAGGGACGACAAAACGAGCACCAGAGGGACCACAAGAAAAGCACAATTTGAGCACCAGCCGAGCACAATTTGAGCACCAGCCGAGCACAATTTGAGCACCAGCCGAGCACAATTTGAGCACCAGCCGAGCACAATTTGAGCACCAGCCGAGCACAATTTGAGCACCAGCCGAGCACAATTTGAGCACCAGCCGAGCACAATTTGAGCACCAGCCGAGCACAATTTGAGCACCAGCCGAGCACAATTTGAGCACCAGCCGAGCACAATTTGAGCACCAGCCGAGCACAATTTGAGCACCAGCCGAGCACAATTTGAGCACCAGCCGAGCACAATTTGAGCACCAGCCGAGCACAATTTGAGCAATCAGCCGAGCACAATTTGAAACCTGATCCAAAAATCAATGCAAAGCAGCTGAGGGACCACAAGAAAAGCACAATTCGAGCACCAGCCGAGCACAATTCGAGCACCAGCCGAGCACAATTTGAGCACCAGCCAAGCACAATTTGAGCACCAGCCGAGCACAATTTGAGCACCAGCCGAGCACAATTTGAGCACCAGCCGAGCACAATTTGAGCACCAGCCGAGCACAATTTGAGCACCAGCCGAGCACAATTTGAGCACCAGCCGAGCACAATTTGAGCACCAGCCGAGCACAATTTGAGCACCAGCCGAGCACAATTTGAGCACCAGCTGAGCACAATTTGAGCACCAGCCGAGCACAATTTGAGCACCAGCCGAGCACAATTCGAGCACCAGCCGAGCACAATTTGAGCACCAGCCGGGCACAATTTGAGCACCAGCCGGGCACAATTTGAGCACCAGCCGAGCACAATTTGAGCACCAGCCGAGCACAATTTGAGCACCAGCCGGGCACAATTTGAGCACCAGCCGGGCACAATTTGAGCACCAGCCGGGCACAATTTGAGCACCAGCCGCGCACAAAAAACCGAAAACAGTAAAACCAAAAAAGTCAACTGCGCCAGCCCCAGCCCCAGCCCCAGCCCCAGCCCCAGCGCCACGCCCAGCCCCAGCCCCAGCGCCCCCAGGCCCAACCCAACCACACCAGCCCCAGCACCCCAGCCCAGCCAAGCCCAGCCCCAGGCCCAGCCCCAACCCCCCACCCTTGCGTTTGGTGGTGGTGGTTGTTGTGGTGGTGGTGGTGCTGCTGCTGCTGCCGCTGCTGGTACTGCTGGTTGTAGTGGTCGTGGTGGTGCTCTCGCTGGTGGGGGGCGGTTGTTGTTATTGTTGCTAGTTGTCACATTGCTAAGCTGTCGTAGTTACTAAGAATTGCTAAGGTTTCCAACGGAATGTTGGTGATAAGTTGGCCAGTTCCTAGCAAATCTGTAGCAACCAGAGCCGAGAAGAGAGAAACATACACCTGTGCAGCTTGATTCCTTCCGATTCACATGAAACATTTTTTCAACCATTTGATGATTTACATATTCATGGTGTCTACCTGATCCATTGTTTGGTTTTGGTATAAGAATTTATCCGTATCATATCACCAGATTAGACCCTTATTTTCTGCATTTGGCTGGTGCTCATTTTGTGCCCCTGGCTTGTGCTCACTGTTACTGCCCCGGGGGTAGATCAAATATATACATGTTTAAATACATAAATCAATATATATATATATATATATTATAACATATATAATATACACTGCCTGGACAGTTCCTCTTGGAATGTTGAATTCTGTTTGCCAGAACTTCACCTTCGAGTTCCGTTTGCTGCGCAGCTGGGCTGTGGAGGCAGGGCCGCGATCGGCCGAGGGTGTAGGTCAAACTCAGGTGCGGAATGATGAATAGATTAACTGATGAAAACATCATTGAACAACAAAAGTAACGAGAAAACCACATGAATTAGGGGTGTTAACAAGATATCAGGGAATTTCAACAGTTCAAGACCATGACATACCAGAATCAGCGGGTTGCTGGCTCTTAATGTTTTTACGAATAGAGTTACCTTTCCAATGGCTGAGACTTCCAGTCTTGTTGCTGTTCAGGTTTGCGCCGATATGATGGAGCTCTTGAAACGGCCAAAAGCTCAAGCAGATTTCAGAACACCATGAGTGTCCATAAGGAAAACCTGCTGCAGATCAAGATGTTGTTCTTTCTTAAACTGGATGGTTTATGGTAATTACATAGACTCCGACTAGACATGCCCGGATTGTGCCAGATTTCTGTTTGTTCGCAGCCAGTCTCTTGGTGTTTTGTCGATCTTCAGGTTAAGCCTCATCGATGAACATGCTGGTGGATGGGCTCAGGCAACAGCTCCCTAAAAGTCCAAGAAATCCCAGACACGGGGCCATCTCAAAGACGAGAAATCCTCCATTCAATCAAAGTGACGGACGGGTTTCTCTTGCAAAATCGACCTTCAACTGGATCTGGGTTCTCAATCGCCCAGCTATTTGCGAATTGGTTTCGGATTTGTCCTGTGAGATGCAGCCTTTCACGTGAAATTCTGCAAACTCCAGAGCCTTTTTTATGCTTCATGTTGTCACGTTGCCAGTGCACTGAACCCATCGAAGTGCAAGAGTTCATCCATCGTTTGGAGGTTCGGGTCCAAGGAAAGAGTGGATACATGCATGGATTAAAATTGCCGGAAACACAAGGTGAAGCCGCGAAGCCTCTACACTTGGAATTCAGTGAGATCACAGAAGGCATCCCCAATCTTGAGGTAATTGCCAATATGATACGATCATATACGATCTTATGATGTGAATTTATGTAGCCACACATGGATATATTCAATATATGTCACAAATATATTCATTGATCATCGATCACACATCATAAACATCCCCAAGCCATGTTCTCATTCATGTTCTATTTGTGGATCTCGAGGCGTTGGACTATCCTGGAGATCCAGCAGAGTTAGCGGGGCAGGTTTGTAAAGCCCCCACTTTGCTGACGCGGGCAGGTGCCCTTTGGCAGTGCTGCTTCGATTTATTCATGTTCCATGTGGCCTTCCAATGGAGTTCGGATGACCCAATTGATGCATGAAAAATAATGAGAGGACATGAGGTTAGAGAAAAAATCCAAAGCGACAAGAAGTTGTGTGACCACCAAATTCCAAGCCTTCAGCATGAAGGAACTGTGCAGAGAATATCTGCGGAACATGTGTGTTCGGTTCGATCCCTAAGCCTGTGATGCTGCATGAAACAGGAAAATAACACCATACCTTTTTCCAACTGTTCAATGCAGCATTTATTGCTCTTCATTGCTTCTCATGTCTGTTCAAGAGATCATGCTGTAGACGATTTTGTTCTAAGGCGCTCTTTGGCAAGCAGATCCGTCGAGCAGATGGCCAGCAACCCAGGTTGAAACAGGTCAAGCATGATCAACCACACCTTTTTTTTTAAACCTGTATCAGCCTGTCATTACCAGTTTGAACATGGCATCTGTCTCCTCTCTACAAGGTCCCCCGAATGGAAAGCATGATCTTGAGAAGAGTGACAAAAGTGACAAAGCCTCAGACCGAGACCGGCCCTTAGACGACGGATTTCATCAGACAGTTATTTTTGGTCGTACTCATCTGTACCCATAATCATCATCATAATCATCATCCTGGTCCTTATCCATGTGCAGGTTGTTTGGTTGTTTGATCATGATGATCATGCTCTGCAGATCTCTGCATCTCTGCAAGTCCTGTTTCTGTTGAGGCTTTGAAATGCCAAGGGATCCGCACATCATGATCACTGCAGACACTGCAGATGTGAACTCCAGGTCAAGAAGAAGAATCCCATCCGCAAAGCCGAATGGGATTCCAGCATTTGGTCTGGTCTGAATCTCAATGACCACAAATGATGACCATAGTATGACCCCACTCAACGGACATCAACCATTGCTGTCTGTCACTGTTGCCTCAGGCTATTGCAGTAACATGGCAAGACCGGCGGCCCTGCGGACCTACTTTAGCACGTCTTCACCTTGAAATGTCATGACATCATTTCGAATGTCATGGGAATGTCATGGGAATGTACAGGTTTCGGAAGCCGTTCCTGTTGTAGCCTTGAAAATCTTGAAACGATCGCAGTGAGGCCAGCAAAGGAACCACAGGTGAAGCAGGGCCGAATCGCAAGGGCCAGGAGCCGATTTTCCACTGAGTTGATCGTTGATCGATTCGCCTGTGACAAACATTGACAATTATGTGATGTGACAATTATGTGACGAATTTCTGGAATTTCTCGCCACAAATTTTGATCGATAAATTGATCATCTTGCCACTTCTCACAGCAACCAGCCACAAGTGACTCGCCACAAGGCATCGTCCAATCCGGTGCTTAGCAGGTCCCAGCCACGAACGAAGGACAGCTTCGGCAGCTTTAAGGTCAAGGTTTGTCGAAAAGGACTAAACTGACAATTCTGAAACCTTGAAACCACTGAGGCTATACTGACACTACAAATGTTGAGAGATTGGTTGACAGCGATGAGTTCGGAAGCCATACTGGTGGACGGATATCCATTGGCATTTTACATAAATTCATTGCTTCGAATGATTTCAACTGATAATTTCAAGCTATGTTAACCCAATTTATTATACGTATATAGTTATCAATTTCAAACTATCATTACCGATAATTATTTCAAGGATTTTAGATTTTTTTTGGCCCAAGTTTATCCAATTGGTGCTGAATGACCAACTGGTAACCAGTTTTCACTTGGTCAGGAGCGCCAAAGCAAGCGCAGCGTCTCACCTGGTAGCGAGCCGCGACGGGTGCGCGCCTCTGAAGATTGCGACATGACAAGGCTCTCCTTCATTCGGACTTCATTGTCATTTTCTAAGGAACTTTAAGGAACCAGAAAATCATGTTTTATCATGTTTTATCATGTTTTATCATGTTTTATCATGTTTTTGTTTTCGCTCCAATTTTTGCAAGCACGCAGAGTCTGTGTATGTCTGTGTCAATACCCAGGTACGACCAGGGGAACTGAATCACCGATGAGAAGTTCTGAAGCCCAAGTTGTTCCAATGCTTCGAAGATAGAAAGACCTGGCTTAAATATGCAGCAGGTTGAAATGGATTGAAATCTAAGACCGAAGGGCCGACCTTGGTGTTTTTATCCTTCAAAGTAGCAAACCATCAAATTCTTCAGGGGCCTCACTGGGTGCCCGTATCAAGAAGACATTCTGAGAACTCTATGAAGCATTGGCAGTCGTCTGGGTGCCTGTAAAGCAGGGACTGCAAGACGATAAAGGATGAAATTTGGCCTGGGTGCGCGCCCGCACACAGCCTACGCCACTGCTCTTTGCTGTGCTATGTCGTGCCTTGATGTGCCATGTGAAGTCTTAGCAGATCTTAGCAGTTAATGGATCCGGGAGACTCCCAAGACCCTTAACCCCCTGCGCGGAGAAAACAATTTGGACAGTGCATTGACCAATCAAAGATGTTGGTTGCAGAGTAGGTCTGAGCAGGTAGCGGAATTTTGAGGGCAAGCTGTTTTCTTCAGACGGTCGAAGGCTTCCTATGACTTGAATCTCACGTGGATTTTCCAATTAATGACAATTTGATTTTTATCTACCAAGATTTGGGAAGATCTCAAGCTCCCAGAACATACAGATTGGCATGTCCTTGCTTCTACTTTCCTTTGGGTAATCAGACAAGCTTGACCAATACCAAAATGACTGCTGCCGTTTGCTCGTTAGCAACTGTGCGCAATCGGGGCAGCCATGATTCAGCCGAAGCAAGCGGGATTTTTCCAGGCTGCAGACAGTTTTGTGTTGAGGGGCTCAAACTTGACACGAGGATGGATTTTCCGTTGTCCGGAATCTGTGGGATTTGTCGTTGCAACACAAATCGGGATGAAACCACAGGTGTTGATGATTTAAATGAGGACAGCCATGAAAACTATTCGGAGGTTTCACAGCCCTCTGTGTCCCCACTTGCCTTTTGGCAGGTGAGGCCTGCTCAACAGCAGCAGGCGCCCGTCAACATCTATTTTATGGCTTCCAGGATTGCACCGCGGTTCGGCAGTTCCGAACTCCTTTTATTTTTGGCAACTACATGCAACGACTCCCAGAATTGGAAATAACCCGGCACTGCAAATCTCAAAATAGATGAAATTAACACAAATAAAAGTGAACATGTTTGTTGATAAATTATATACCAATTTTACTTAAGCCCGCCTTTGATAAAAGCAATCTTCCGAGATGTCCACTAAAAGCCAAAGGAAAAAGCGTCGTTGAATTGTCAGCAGGCAACCTGGAACCGCGCGAAGGCGCTGGGTGGGTGAGCGGAGGATGCAACTGACAATAACATCAAAATGCTTGTGAGAGATTGATAAAGGAAGGGCATCTATTTGCGGAAAACAATGCTATGTTCCTTTTCTGTTTGGCAGCTTCTTGATTCGAATTTCTCTGCTTTTTGTTTTGTCGCTTTTCCCTGCTTTTCTTTGCCTCTATGCTTTTCAATTTCTGCTTCCACGCATTTCTTCAACAAACTGTAACGCCCCAAAATAGCACTTTAAACCAGTCAATCAATCAGACCTAAAGCGGCCCCAAATAAACCCGTCTTAAACCAATCCTAACCAAGCCACAAACCAATTTAGAATAAACCCTAAACCAACCTGAAATAAGTCCTCAACCTGAGAAAATTAGATCCAACCCTAAATAGTGACTAAACCAACTATCATTGACCACCTAACCAATCCCAAATCAACCTCCAACAATCCCAAAACCAATCCTAAATAAATTCCAAACCTACCCTAAAGAAGCATTGCACCCACTCTAAAGAAACCGTAAACACCCTTAAACCAACTACAGAAACCCTAAACGAACCCTAAAAAAAATTCAACTAAACCTAAAGAAACAATTGTCCAGCTCCCAGTAAATTCTAAACTTACAAAGAAATTGACCCGACCCTAAATGAACCCAAAGAAGCCATAAACCAGCCCCCTGAACCAACCCTAAATTTACACTCGAGCAACCCTAAAGAAATCCAGGTGGCATTTTTCGAGCTTACCATTTCAGACCGACGCCGCAGAAGAGGTTGATCACCACGGCCATGTATGCATGTATGCATGTAATGTAATGTAATGCAATGCAATGTAATGTAGCGTAATGTAATGTATGTATGTATGTGCAATTCTTCAAATAATTTCCCGATATTTGCAGTGTTTTTGATCATTTTTGTGAATGATGAGTTTTGCACCTTTTTGGAAAATATTGGTTGGAATTAGGGTGACAGTATGTATGTATATATGTCATGTATATTTAGAATGTCTATGTGTAATGTATGTGTGTAATGCAAGGTAGTTTAATGTGGTGTAGTATAATGTAAATCTTTCCCTCGAAAACGGCAAATTTCTGCCTCTGGGCACCGTTCAGGTTCTTATCTGTCTCTGCCTATGGTTGTGCGGCGAGCGCGCAGGTGGGGAGAGCAGTGTGGGCTGATGTTTTTTTTTGTTTATAGCAACCCCCAAATAGATAGAAATACTCTAAGACCTCGGAATTATCGAACTAGCATCCTGGACGCATTTCTCGGCATCTTTTTCGTGTTACTCTGTTTTCATTCTAAATTTATATGTATATATACATATCAAGCCACATTTGTAGATCGATTTTAGTAACAAATCAAACTTAAGCCAGTGGCGTTTTTTTTTTTTAAATCTGCACCTCCTTTGGGATTGATTTTTATACATGTATGTATATATATATATTTATTTCCCGAGAGCGTCTGAGCGCAGGGTTCTTCCAATAGTGGGGGTCTGTAAAACATCTTCTCATCTTCACATCCTCTCATCTTCACATCTTCTCATCTTCACATCCTCTCATCTTCACATCTTCTCATCTTCACATCTTCTCATCTTCACATCTTCTCATCTCATCTTTCACATCTTCTCATCTTCACATCTTCTCATCTTCGCATCTTCTCAATCTTCACACTCTCTCATCTTCACATCCTCTCATCTTCACA